AATAGCATACACCCACTCGCACAAGAAAAACACTAACGCACACCGACACAACAGGGACAAAGACACAATAAAATGACCTTCAAGAGTCTATGCATACAGCACAGTGCGGCAAACGCTGCAATTCATATTTAAACACAGACGCACACATATGCTGAACCCCTGCAATGTTGAAGTTGCGCTAAATCTTTTAAGAGTTATTTTATGTGTTCGAGTGAGTGTAACCTTGGCGATGGCATGTGTCCAATCCTGCTGTGCGTCTGAGGTCTCCGCTCCGAACACCAGCACTCTCTGAGAGCGCAGGTACAACTCAAAGGTGAACACTGGCCTGAGGGAGGTGTGGAAACAGCACAATTAACACACACACAAAGTGACTGAAACACACACATGCCCACATGCTCACAGCTGTGAAACCGAAAGGATGGTGATTAATCTCTGTTAGTCTTTTGCTCTTACAATAAACAGCTGAACGCTGGAGATTAATCCAGGGGGAAAGGTCACTCTCTTAATGGCTTTAACAGCTCTGACTTGTGGCCCACATTTTTGGACAGGGGGATATTTCTGTTACAGTAGTGAGAGCAAAAGAATTCAAGAAAAAGGGGGATTTCAGGCTAATAGGGTTAGAGGTCGGCCAGCATGTCAGTTTCCTCTCATTTCTTGTTAGTGTTTGTTAGTGTATGTAAACTCTGAGGTGGGGTCGCATCTAAAACACTTTCCGTAACCTCTAACCCACAAAAGGTGGTCAAATGAATGAGTTCATTAACAAGATGGTGTGAGAGAAAGAGACAGAGAGGGAGGGGGAAACACGTACCCCGTTTCGGTGATGTTCTCAGTGTTGTTGATGGCCAGGCTCACCACATCGCTGGCGTCAACCCGGCCTATGGGTGTAGCATTCTTCTCATTTTCATAGTAACTAAGGAATCCACCTTCCATCGTACACCAACGGCGGACCGGGTCTGAAACATACAAATAGAAAAACATGAGATTTAACTACTGAGTACTACTGTAGATTAAATTATAGATTCTTCATCACACTTAGTAGTACTTGCTGTTATTGCTCATACAGACAGATTTAAACAACTTTAGTGCATAAATTCTGTACTGTTGCACTATAGACATGAATGACAGACAATTCCACAGGTAAAATCCAGTCATTTAAACAGGAATTAACATGATTGGAGTCTCACACGAAGGTGGAAAAAGTTCCCTGTGCAGATTTAG